GCCCTCGCAGCCTAGTTGGGATCTCTGTGGTCGCAGGCGAACAGATCGGGAGCTTTGTGTTCGCGGGCGAATCTGATCGGGAGCTCTGTGTTTGCGGGTTGGAAACGTAAGGTGGGGGTCGTGTTGGAATGTCCCGGCTGGATTTAAGTGCGGTCATCTGCGGAGGTGGAGGAGGTCGATTCAATGGAAGCGGGCTGATGGGCTCAGGTGATACCCGCGGGAGTAGAATCGATTCGAGGTCGACATACACTCGAGAGGAGGAAGCGGGGGCGGGATGTTCGGGTGAGCTGAGACGAGTGCAGGCTCTCGGGTCGCAATATGAGCGGTGGTTTGAATCATCGGCAGTGGTGGTAATAGAAGAAGATGGAGGTTCGGGAACACGGATCTGGTATTGAAGGGGAGGAGGATCGCGCCATCTGAGCGGAAGCTCGAGCGGAGGGTAGTCGTCAACAACGGTGGGAGAATGGGACTGATGGCGTTTGCGAGGAGCGGATGAGGAGAGCGAAGAAGAAGAATACCTCGGTATGGTTGCCGACGACATTCTCATCTTCCTTATTGCTCGAAGGTTTTCTCTAATCCGATCAAGGTTTCTGTCTACCCGATCGAGCGATTCCTTCGATTGAGCTTGATAGAATGCGATCCGGCTTTGAGCATCGTCGACAGCCCACCTTCCTTGGAGTCGATCGTCGTCGACTGCCAATCTTATTATGCGGCTTCGATCGTCGTCGACAGCCGACCTTCTTCCGCAGTCCATCGATCTTCACAAGCTCCAGGCTCTGATACCAACTAATGTAGTGGATCGTCGGAAGACTCGACCTGCAAGAAGGATTTCGGTTTCCCAATCCAGGGAGGAAGAAGAAGAAAGCTTCAAAAGCTTCAAAGAGTATATTATATCATTCAATGAGCTCAAAACCTTACATTGGCCAACTATTTAAAGAGGAAAATAGAACTATCTAGAGTAAGGAAGGTAAACTAGTCCCTAAGCACAATAAAAGCTAAGATGTTCCTACATCAATTTGTTTGCAATTTGCTAACTTAGTGAGTTCATATAAGTGTTGTTCATATATCATCGTGTCCTTATGAAATATGGGAAAGTGAACTTGGTGAAGAACTAGCAAGATTAATATTTCTTTTTTTCAAATTTGAGACCAACTTATCCATTTTGATGATGTCATTTGGTTCACAAATTGTGCTCGAACATGCAAGCAAAGGAAGTGGTGCCCCCAACCTACCTAAGAGTTTTTACATATGCTTTATATTGTGTTAGGAAATATCATAAATTGCTTTGCAAATGCTAAATATATATATATATATGAAATTATCCTTCCAAAAAAATTTATTATCAATCCTTTTCAGCCTCAGATCAAAAACTTAAATACACTATGTAGTATTGGAATAAATGAGGAAAAATACTATGTTACCATCTTATACTCCACAAAATGATCTTTAATATGTGCACTAAGAAAGAGAAAAAAAGACAAACTTTTTCAAATTCTTTTGACCGTAGATCTCTCATAAATGATTTGGTAGCATCCATAACCAACTAAAATAGCAATAAAGTTTCACGCTTAGAAAGGAAATTGGCCTCATAAATGAGGGCAAATTATTAGGTATGGTCACCAGATCTATTTCGAGGTCCGGACATCCACTAAAAAATTGTCACGTGGAATGTACACGTGTCCGCGGAATTTAAAGTCAAGCGCGTCAAAAGCGTAGTCGAAGCGCATCTAAAGCTCACCTAAAGCACAGTCAAAGCGCACAGTCAAAGCGAAGTCCACGTGACAAATTTTTATTGAGTGACCGGACATAATGATTTGCCTATAATGAGACATTTTGATTGAATTTGACTTGACTCAAATCCATTTGACTTGCGCAAGAGACTCCATTAGGTCTTTACTCGGATAAGCCGTCGATCTACTTGACTCTTCGGTGCGGTGAAGGAGATTATAAGCAGATCAACCTCTCTCCATTTATAAATATACAGTTATCGATCCATCGCAAAATCCACTCTTTCTCCCATTCCTTTTTCTCCCACTTTCCCAACCCACTGGCTTCCACGATTCCCAGCCACCTCAACAACCTCTAACCCCACTCTCCTTGTTCTTATCTCTCGTCCGTTCTTGCTTTCGTGTCTGTTGTCTGTTTGCAGAACTTCCCAGCAACAGTGAAACTGTTTCTTCCTTCTCCTCACTGTAATGGAAATGAGTACCTGTAAAGTTTTAACTTTTTTTTTTTCTTCCAGTACAATTTTGTAGTTTTGTTTATTGACGAGATATTGATACTGGTGAGTGCTAGAGTATAAAGATGGTTTCTTTTGTCGCTCACCGATCTTAATTGTTCTTCCCCGCAGTATTGTATTGTTCAATGCATCCTCTTTAACACTTATCTACGACTCCCACTCGCATCGCCTCTGCTTCGAAGAAACCTATTTCGTTTTCAATTTGCATTTCCATTTCGTCTAGCATTCAGTTGTGAATCGAATGAAAAAGAACATGGTTTACTTGGAAGTTTAATTAACTATTCATGGATCTCGATGAAGGAACCTATGGGAATTCCATCAAGGTGAGTTGGGTTTTCTACTTTGTTAGCATTTTTTTTTTTTTTTTGGGTTCTGGGATAGGGAATTGTAGAGATTTGATTTGCAGAAGGAGTCATGGAGGACGGTGCTCACGCTTGCGTACCAGAGTCTTGGCGTAGTCTACGGTGACCTAAGTATCTCGCCGCTTTATGTCTATAAGAGCGCATTCGCGGAAGATATCGAGCACTCGGAGACAAATGAGGAGATCTTTGGAGTTCTCTCCTTTGTGTTCTGGACGCTTACCCTCGTTCCTCTACTTAAATACGTCTTCATAGTCCTCCGAGCAGACGACAATGGTGAGGGCGGAACTTTTGCTCTCTACTCTCTTCTCTGCCGCCATGCTCGGGTTGGTTTACTACCGAATGGGCAAATCGCTGACGAGGAGCTCTCCGCTTATAAAAAGACTGATGGAATATGCCATGACCATTGCTCCCGTTCTGGAGAAGCCGGCGTCGGCGGTCGGTTCACGGCAGCGGCGAGGTTGAAGATGTTGATGGAGAAACATCGGGTGCTGAGGCAGCTGCTGTTGGTTCTGGCGCTGATTGGGACTTGCATGGTTATTGGTGATGGCGTGCTCACTCCTTCACTTTCCGGTAGATTCAATTACTTTCCTTTTCTTCTTTTTGGTGGAAATATGACTTTCTTTGTTGAGTCTATTAATCTTGCTTTTGGCGGCTTGTGTTTGACAGTTTTCTCAGCCGTCTCAGGGCTGGAGCTTTCAATGTCCAAGGAGCATCACAAATGTATGAAATTTCTGGTTTCAGTAGAGAAATCATCTCATATGTGAAAAAAAAAAAAAGCTACAGATTTCTGATTTCGTAATTTTATGGCTCAGAAGTTTCCAATTTTGTTGGATTTCTTCTTGGCTTATGGATTCTTGATCTGAAACTTCCGGTGGGGGAATTTGGCATGCTGGCCTGTAGTTTAACTTCTGTAAAGTGGCCTATTGATTTTTTAGTTAATCAGTAATTCAAGCTATCAATTACTAAATTTAGGTTTGATTTCTGTTACTTTTGGATTCTTTTGTTGTTATATTTGGATCTCTCACCCCTTGACATTTATGATTATTTGTCATCTACTGAACCTCGCTTCATTTTCGTTCTTGCAATGCTGACCTTGGCTAATTGTTAGTGTATGGCTTCATGTGGAAACAGGTCTAAATTTTTTAATCTCAGTAAAACTATTGAATGTGGTATACTGGTATTTAACTTGTTTTACTTATAAAACTACTTCCCAAAGAGCCTATTTCACCTTAGTGTCGCATTCCTTCCAACAACATCTACCATCATTCTTCTAGTCAAAAACATATCAGTACAGAATTTATCTTCCTTTCATCAGCCGCAACACACCTAATCCATTTTCGCCTATGATAGAGCAACTACTTGTCTCAAGTTAAAATGATAAATATGTAAATTTAATGTTTATGTAAACTTTAAGATGCTCTTGATTATGTCTAATGATGTCAATTATCTCTGATTTGCAGATCTCGAAGTTCCTATTGCATGTCTTATATTGATCTGTTTGTTTGCGGTGCAACATTACGGCACTCACCGAGTAGGATTTTTGTTTGCGCCAATTGTTATAACATGGCTCTTGTGTATCAGCATGATTGGCATCTATAACATTTTCTATTGGAATCCACATGTATATCATGCACTATCTCCCTACTACATGTACAAGTTCTTGAAGAAGACACAAAGACAAGGATGGATGTCCTTAGGAGGAATTCTTTTATGCATCATAGGTTTGTTGAGTGAAATAAAGTTTTTTTTTTTTTCCATATTTTAAGGAGCTCAAATTAATTTTTATATTATGTAGGCTCTGAGGCAATGTTTGCAGATTTGGGGCATTTCTCTCAGTTATCTATAAAGGTGAGAAAACGATGTCGTAATGTAGATGGTGTTCTATATTCTATGATTAGCTAAATATTTATTATCTTATCTTAAATATAGACTAGTGAGGAAAGAATTTCATGATTGCTAACTAAATTAAATTTCTGCTAAAACTACAAATTATAGTGTTGGAAATAGGTCTCTCTTTATTCATCCCAAATATGTTGTTACTTCAAGCAGATTGCTTTTACATCTGTGGTGTATCCAGCACTGATCCTGGCATATATGGGCCAAGCTGCTTATCTCTCACAGCACCATATTCTTGAAAGTGATTATCGAATTGGATTTTATGTGTCGGTCCCTGGTAGGCATACTCATTGTGTTATTATTTTGATTCCTAGAACTCTTATGTTGTTAGCATGAAGCTTATACAATGACATTTTTTTTTTTTTGTTAGAGAAATTGAGGTGGCCTGTGCTGGCTATAGCTATACTTGCAGCTGTGGTAGGAAGCCAAGCTGTTATTACTGCTACATTTTCGATCATCAAGCAATGTTCGGCTTTGGGATGTTTCCCAAAAGTGAAGATAGTGCACACATCCTCTAACATTCGTGGCCAAATATACATTCCAGATATCAACTGGATCTTAATGTTGTTGTGTTTGGCCGTCACTATTGGTTTCAGAGATACAAAACATTTAGGAAATGCCTCAGGTATGAAGCTATAAGCAGTAAATTATCATATTCAGATTCTTCTACATGATTATCTTCCACTTCGGTTCTTAAGTTGTAATGTTGAACCTTCAATAATTATATTAGGTGATATCAATTCGGGGTATAATTCTATTTTTTTTTTTTTCTTCTTCTTATGTGCTTTCCTATTCCTATTATAGTGACAAATTTATGATATAAAGTCCTACAAAAATTTCAACTTTGATAAGATATCAACAATAAGTTTGATGCTCTCTTTTGTCCCTCCTTTCTACAACCTGAATGCCTCTTATTTCTCTCCCACAACCATCTCTCATAGCCTGATATCCACCCAAAACCTACTCTCCACACTCACAGTCATGACATACCACTCACCCTGCAACCCTAGCTAGCCACCTCTCCTTACTCACTGCCAACTCCCGTATTACTCACGACCAACTCCCATAAACTGTTGCCCTACTATTCCCACCCTGCAACGCCGCCTTCATCGTACATCCTTTGCTCTGCCCGCAACCTTTGGCCTTGATTCACTTTCTGTTGTACTTACCCACCACCCTCTCACTATGGTCAGGGATTTGTAAATTTTAGTTGGATCCTTCAACAAACTTATTCATCTAAATGCTTCTTTGATTCACAATGACACTAGAAAATTCTCTTGATCTCAAGTCTTTGATTATGTTGTTCTTACCTATATGATAAATGACAAGTAGCAACTAAGGATATGTGGGATTGCTTTGTTCAACATACTTTCAAAAAAGCAACATCTCCAAGTCTGCATCTCTTTTCTTTACAACCAAATGATCTCCGAAGAAAAGATAATATAATATTCTATAGTGTAAGTGTGATTCACTTTTTTAATATCAATTCTTCACTAATTAGCTAATTGCATTACAAAATAAATAAGGAGCCTTTTCTTGTCAAATTTCTCTTTGGACTTCGCCATTCACTCTAACAAGTACAACCATGGTTGATGGAAAATTCTACCATCTATCATTTCTCTTTCATGTGTTATCCTGATCCTTGAACTTTTAAGTCCCTCCCCCTAATCTTTGAACAGTCTATTCTAGGTATAGGACATTATTGTGGGCATGAATGCGGAGGAAAATTATTTTCTCCATTCTCATTATGGTCGAAATACCCATCCTTCTTATTGCCGTTGGACCAAATTTTACTACCATTTCATAGCTCTGCATTAGATATTTAGTTACTATTTCTGATTCTCTACTCCTAAAACCTCTTTTATATGTGTTATTCTTTCACAAGAGGGGTATGATTGCCTTATTCGGTACTCTTATGTATACTAATCTCTCTCCTATAAAATTGTATCCTTTGGTTTTGCTATTATTAGTTTATCTGGTATGAATTGGATATTAGACTATGGTACTTTCTCTCATATAACAGGTAATTGTCAATAATTCTCTTTTCTTCAGTATAATTAATCCTTATTGCAGATGGAGCCTACTCTTAGTCTCTAGCAAAGTGATATGATTTGATGACAATATAAAAAATAGCACACTTACTCCAAATAGATCCAAAAATGGTACCAAGAGGATGTAATTACTCATCTCTAAGCAAAGAAAGACAAGATACAAGTTGATTCATTGTTCGAGAGGTGAATCATTTCTCGCATAATTCCTAACTGCCACTAGGAACCCAAAAACTCTCACAAAAAATTGCTGCAGCAAATAAAATTCCAAACATAAACCCTAACCTCCCACAATCCCCCCCCACTTAAACAGTCCAAAATCCTCTAATAAATGCCTCTTGCATCTTTCCCAAAAAGTTCCTCCCAAAGACTCTTCTCCTATATGTGATAAAGGAGGTCATGGGCCCTACCTGGGCGCCTAGGTTGCTGCCCACCTTTGCAGCTGTGTTGCCAACTGCTACATCAATTCCCCCCTCCTAAAAGGCACATTGTCATGAGGAAAACTACTTATGGATGGTATTGTAGGGCTTCCATGTCACCTCTTATTCTAGTGAATCCTTCCACATGATCAACACTTCCCTGATCTCCTTATCTCCTTGGTGCACTCCTTTCACCTCCAGCAATTCCAATAGCACCTCCATATCCTCTGACAATGTGGCTTATAGTACGGGCGAGAGTGTGTGATTTCAATGGCTTGTCTCAGTTATGATACATGAAATACAGGATGCATGGCTGAGGTCGATGGAGACCGTAGGCGATATGCCACAGCGCCAATGCGCTCCACTACCTCATAGGGCTCAAAGTAGCAAAGGGAAAGCTTCTCATTTCTTCGTCAAGCCTAAGTTTTGTCTGTATAGTTAGATCTTTAGATAAACCATGCCCCCTATCTCAAATTGCACTTCAAACTCCTTTGGCCCGTTCTGACTATGAAGTTTCGTCCCCAGGTAAGGTCACCACTTCTATATTGCCAACACTATCGCTATCAGCTCCCTTTCATACACTGATTTCAATCTCGCCCTAGCGGTCAACACCTGGCTGAAATAAGTTATGGGCATCTGACTTTGCATGAGAGCTGCTCCCAACTCATAGCCTGAGGCATCAGTCTCTACTACAAATGGCTGGCTAAATTTTGGTATTGCTAACACAGGGACACTCGTCATGGCCTTTCTCAGCTATTTAAATGCTTAGGTGGCTGCCTCCCCTCATTTGAAATAATCCTTCTACAATTGCTCTGTTAATGGCCATGCTATAGAGCTATATCCCCTCACAAACTTCATGTAGTACCCTATGAGTCCCAAGAATCCTCCCAACTCTTTCAAAGTTTTTGGTAAGGGCCACTCTAACATAGCCTCTATCCTGGAAAGATCTGCAGCTACTCCTAATTTGGACACCATGTCCCAAATACTTCACCATATGTTATGCAAAAAAACACTACTTCAAATTGGCATACACCTTATGCTCCTTCAATGTTACTAACACGACCCTCAAGTCCTCCACATGCTCTGCCTTTGATCGACTATACACCAAAATATCATCGAAGAAAATCAATACAAACTTGTTAAGGCAGGGATAAAATACCTTGTTCCTAAATGACTGAAAGGTAGCAGGGGCTTTGGTAAGCTTAAAAGTTATCACTAAAAACTCGTATTGGCCTCATGAGTCTTGTAAGTAGTCTTGTGAATATCAACTGACCGTGTTCTGATCTGATGATATCCTGCTTTCAGATCAATCTTGGAGAATATCACTGTCCTGTATAACTCATCTAGCAACTCATCAATGGATGGTATAGGAAACTTATCCAACATTGTTTCCTTATTAAGAACCCAATAATTTACACAAAATCTCTAGCTACCGTCCTTCTTCACCAACAACACGGGACTAGAGAATGGACTAACACTGGAATGAATGACCTGGGCCTCCAACATCTCGATTAGTTTATCAATTTCATTATTTTGAACATGTGGGTATCTGTAGGGTTGAACACTGATAGGGGATACCCCTCCTTCAAGATGATGGCACATTCATGCTCCCTTAGGGGAGGTAGGCCCTGAGGTAGCTAGAACACCCAATGTTTAAAATTGCGTTTTCGGGTATTGAGGCGTTTTTCATTCGTGAGGCGAGGCGTAAGCCTCAAGGCGTTTTGAGGCGTAAGCCTCAAATTCAAAAGATTGCGTAAACATAAAATGATAATTTTTTTATATACAAATAAATGAATAATATAAAATATAAAAAAACATAAGATATGAAGTGAAATCAAAATATCTCAATAATAAGACAACATGAAATATAGTTCAACTCAGAATTCTATCTTTCCCAAATCCCATTATTTTTTTCATTAACATATAATTCAAATTTCCAAAAATAAATAGCAATGACATATCACATAAGAACTCATAAGTCATCAGCACTGTAATCACTAAGGGGTTCTTCATTTGAATCATTATTATGGTGAATTGCTCTCTCCCCTTCCTCCTCTTCTATGGAGTCCAATGTCGGACATTTACTTCAAGATTTATGTAAGTTTTAATATATATAGCGTGAGGCGTAAGCCTCATGCCAGTGAGGCGAGGCGGGCTTCAAGGCGGGCCTCAACCAAGTTGAGGTGCAAGCCTCATAAAAAGAACTCAAGGCGTAAGCATCGAGGCGTTTTTTACTGGAATTGCGCATAGGCGGGCCTCAACGCGAGCCTCATATTGCGCAATTTTAAACCATGAGAACACCTCATTGAATTATTGCAGGAATGGCTAGACTATCTCTAAAACTTCCCCCTCTCTCTCCATGCTTCACCCTCCCTCGAGACTCTGGAGCTCCACCAAGAATCCCATCACTACTCCCTGGATTGCCCTCACCATGATCTTAAAAGAAATGCTAGTTTTGGACATACTAGGATCCCCCTATGATCCTCAAATTCCTCCCTCCCATCATGAATTCCATAGTTAATTCTTTTTAGTCCATATTGGTTTCCCTTCATATCTACAACGACTGCATACCCAAAATTACATATGTGCTCCCTAACTCCAAGGGAAGAAAATCCTCCTTCACCTAGATCTCCTGCAATGTTACCATCGATCCTAGGCAAATGCCTCTACTCTTCTCCATCTTCCATGTTCCCATCGTCACCTCGAAACAGCCTGTGTCAAATAACAGCCCCAATCGGTCCACCACCTGGTTGGAGATGAAGTTGTAGGTCACGCCATTGTCCACCAGAACTACCATTGATTCTCCTCCTATCTGCCCTTTACCTTCATTATGTGATTTGAGGTAAACCTTACCCCACCACTGAATTTAAGGAGACTTTCGCCACATCTAGGTGAAAATGCTCCTCCTCTAAAGTCTCCTCCTCATCACAGACTGTAAGTACCTACAACGAAAAATCCTTGCAACAGTGACCTGGATAAGCCTGGTTTGCTAGAGCGTCGTGCTCAATGAGGGTGCAGCCAGCTGGGCCAAGCTACGAATGTGTCGCGTACAACACGGGAGCGAGGTGAGAAGTGCAAGGCAAGGGCTGAGCCTTTAAACTACGGGGCCTACAGGCAACGGACAGGCCAGCCAAGACATGCGAGCCGTGGGAAGCACTACGGTCGTTCAGGCACGAGCTGGGCACGTGGTGCGTGCATGAGATGGGCACATAGAGGGTCAAAACCAGTTCAAATTGGGTTTCCAGGTTGACCCGATCCTAACCCCGATTTCAAAATGGTTTGAAAATTGAGACCCAAATCCGACATGTTCTTAAAACTAATTGACCCTAACTCGAAAAATATGGGTTGGGTTCGAGTTGGATTTTCGTGTTGTGTTATTTTTTGACACCCTTATCTCAAATAGCCTCCCCTATCGACTAGAAAGGTACTCAAACCTCTCCCGATAATTCATCAATGTTCCTTCCTAAACTAGAGCAAAGAACTGCTTGTAGAAATCTCTTTCCTGACTAGTTTGGAATATTTTAATGAACTATCTTTGAACTCCCTCCACAATCGGATTCGATCTCTCATGTCTCTCCACGTATACCAAGATAAGGCCTTCCCCTCCAAGCATAAAGCCGCTGCAGTGAGTCTCTTCTTCTCCGTCAGCCCATTCACAACGAAGTATCTCTCCACCCTATATGATGCTTCCGATGGACAACATGACTTGCTTACAACGATCGACAATAATCAAAGGTGAAAAGTGAACGGATTGCAAATAAATATACCAGAACACCCCAACAACTATTGCAAATCATACACAAGTGATAGCGATCTACCTTGTATCAACCTTGCAAGCAAATACATCAAGCAATAGAGGATCTTTGCACCCAATGAACTATCCATGAGTGACATGCCACCTATAAGTTCAATATGATACATCAATACTGCATATGAGTTCCTATGATTCATCGCATGAGATCTTCCATGCATGCAACATCTAGCCTATAAGTAGAAAAAAGGTTTGTAGTGACTATGAGAAATATGCAACGGATACTATAATGTCCCTTCAAATGGCAGTGATTAATTAACCAGTGAAAACTACATTTCTCTTACAAATACATACCATGCAACGTGTAGTGAATACTACGATATCCTTTCAATCAGTGTCAATTGGCTTGCAGATGTATGCGGCGGTTTCCTACAAATATGAAGCCAGCATGCAATGAATATAGCAACTTGCAAGTTAACATATATTAGAAGATTCGTGATGAATATAACAATATTTTATGGTCAACATCAAAGCACAAGCAGATAGAAGCACTGCAACAGTAACGAATGCAAATACCCATTAACAATAATGGAAGATTTGTTATAACGACATACTTGCAAGTGTTAATCAGTAGTAGGTTGTGGATGTTACAACACCCCCACGACCAACCACCATTTAATAGGCAGCATATATGTTAGTCCATTACAAGTAGAGGAGGACAACATGCAACAAATACATCAATCTCCTTGTGATATCGATTTGCAAATAACACTGGTCCACAGCAAGTGACACATATTACCTACATTCAATGATAAAAGACTCTTCTAGCATACAATCACTTGCTCATAGAATAAAGCAGAAATATTTACAAGCAATGGTATGTGATTTATCACATATGCAATAGTAACGAGTGCAACTCATCCAACAATCAAATTTTGTCCTCAAGTAAACATGTTAACCTACTTGAAAGCGATGAGGGTAGATGTGTTGCAGGACTACAGTAAATATAAGCTCCCACGAGCCGCTGAAGGAAACCCGTTATAAATGCTAAATGTCACCCATGAGCAAAGTGCTAAAGAATCATAACAAAGGCAAATGCATGCAAGCTGCTGCAAGTATAGGCAGAAATACAACAGATGTAAACTCCTATGGGTCGCCAAAGAAGATCCATCAAATATCAAAAAATGCCCCCTACACATATACTGTAATATGTATGTACATAGGTACACAAAAAAGTTTGTGTAATTACAAACTCGCATGGGCCCCGACAAGCGTATTTTGGATATACACGTGACGTCTATGGATGCTGTGCGGATCAATAAATGAACGTTGTTTGAACCCAATCCTTTTACGTGGATAAATAAGAGTCAAGACCGCTCAAACTATCAAACAAATATATTGTCAGGGTGTCAACCGGAATATCTATTTTATACGTTCATATAAGGCCTTCAAAGTCGATGACAAAAGAAATTCATCAACAAAGGCATAAAGCCTACGAAACTCGATCTTCTGTCAACAGCTCGACATAGTCAATAAGGTTCAATACACAAATGGACATGACCCCCAAACACACCGATGATGGTCGTGTTGAACGTACATCTCCACCGGAAGGGTCAATTACAAATATTTAAAGTGCCACCCAAATGCCTAAAAATCCCAAAAATCTAAAGATATTTAAAACTGAAATCCAATTATAAAACACTTAAAACAAAATCCATCCACCCTCTGCAACATTTTTTCGGGTGGACAAATTGAAATTTAAATTAGCTCACGTAAAGCTAATGCCTGGTCGAAAATATCATTAAGATTCATTTTCAAATAATCTCCTACTATTAAGGACTTGGACGTGTCCTCTGACCGGCGGTTTTGCCGCCAAATGGCACCGCATGATAAACGGTTATGACCTGGGGCCCTCTGAATTGAGTGGTTTTACCGCCAAATGACACTACTAAATTACGGTTATAGCCAGAGTCAATACAGTCCTTAGTGATATCAAATCCTTGAGATATGAATCAATAAGATGTAATCGATATGGCACAAAGTCCTCTTTTAGTTAAAGTGGATTCAAATTTGTCCCCTTAAACAAACGTCCACCCCAGGTCTACAAGGTACCCTTGGACGCCTCAACCCATGGTTGCCGACAAGAATCCTTGTGTCAGGTTGGGTCGACTACCTCTTCTGACTAAGTAGATCAGGGATCACGATGACCTGGGACGACGGAACCATGGGATCTTGATCGGGTCCATCATTCATTCCCCCACCATCCGCTTTAACTGCAAGTTGGTGAAATTCCCAATTTTAAATATCACATTTCCAAATACCTAAGCCCATGTGCTACTATATGCCATATACTACGTATCTGATTGACGACTAGCTTTAATCGAAAGTTCTCTCTCGTTATTGGGAGGGGTAATTAACTATAGGGTCTTGCGCCTATAGGAAACCAGAACTCGGATCATAAAGTCATACAAAATGAGGGCGAAATCTCTAGGTAGTGTCTTATCTACAATCCTAATCTATCTTCCCAAAATTTACCCCGGAACTTAATCCGTTAAAACTCCCTCGAAAACAACGGGGGAGACCGGGGCCGAATTTTCGGAGTCCACACTCTCATACCTGTCTAGGAAAAAAATTTAGAGAAAATTATTAAATATTAACCAAAAATCATCAAATTCTCCATATCATAATTTTACTTCTTAACCTTCAATTTGATTTTTAATCATGTCATTTTGAATTCTGAAGAGGAAGTTATAAGGGTTAGAACCTAGGGCTCTAGATCCTAGCTTCTTGTTAGAATTGGGTTGGCCGACTACTAACTCCTTCTCAACCCTAATTCTACTCAAATTTAAACACCATTAAACATAATCTTACTATCCTACCCATCTTAGTAGAGCCTCCCATCCGCCACTTGGATTACAATGTTGATCTAAAGCTCACACAAACAGCAGCACCAAAATGCTTTATGATGTCTCTCATTATCAATGATTGTGTGGAAAGTTGTTCTATCTCATAGACACCATTCTAGTCTTCTAGACATATCATTAGAGCAGAAATCAACACATGCAAAACATGAAAAAAGAAACATTTGAAGGAAGTTCTTCAAAACCTTAAATACATCGCAAAATTTTGTGGATGAAGGATAGCTATACAATAAAATGGAGCAATCGAATGTTGAGGCATTCAATTATGTTGGTTCAATATATGATAGGAATTGATATTATATATCCTTGTGGGTAATTGGTCATCTGTAAATATCAGTGTGGCAATATCTTATATTTATATTAAAAACAGAACTATGATTCATTCTGCATGCCAAATTATATGGGTAACACTCGTCAAGAAAAATCTGATTCCTATCACCAATCTATAACATTTTATTTCATTCATGTATATTACTAATAATTATATTTTTTACTAATGTACTGGACATATTGAAGTAGATTTTCACATCATTTGACATTAAAATAACTTTTTTCTTAATTTTTTTCAAGCGTGACCCCATGCTCAAGCTAATGAAATGGATCACAACGTCTATAGTTTTTTTCAAGCCAACACTCTTTCCAGTTATATATATGCTCATTTTTTTATTCCTCTGTAGCATTTGTTTTTGGAGCTTAACTCTAATTTTTATACAACAGGACTGGCAATCATAACTGTGATGCTGGTCACCACCTGCCTGATGTCTCTTGTAATCATTCTTTGCTGGTGTCGTGGCATCTTCATTGCCATATGCTTCTTCGTCTTCTTTGGCGCAATTGAGGCTCTTTATTTCACTTCCGCCCTCATCAAGTTTCGGGAGGGAGCTTGGGTTCCCATTGTCTTCTCCTTTATCTTCATGATCATTATGTACGTGTGGCATTATGGCACTCTTGAGAAATACGAATTTGATTTACAGAACAAGGTTTCGATCAATTGGCTCCTAAGCCTTGGCCCAAGCCTCGGAATTGTTCGTGTTCGTGGCATTGGACTTATACATTCTGAGCTTGTTTCTGGCATCCCAGCCATCTTCTCCCACTTTGTTACGAACCTCCCTGCATTCCACCAGGTATCTTTTAAAATTTTTTGTTGTCTTTCTTATTTTTTAGAGTAATAATCAGATTTAGATGGAGAGTACCTAAATTTTACATCTCTATCAACTGTAGAAATCAGATTATAATTTCATTTTCTATCCCTTCTGCTGATCTGCAATGGTTTGGCTTGTATAACTATTTCACCATCTGAGAAAATACCACACTTCACCAGTTTAATTTAGCAAAAACAAATGTCAAGCAGCACAAACTAGCGATTTCCACATCAAATAGCTTTACATGGATAGTAATAATAACAATATTAAGATGTTTATGTTTTCCTATGAATGTTATGATATATGCACCAGGTCCTTGTGTTCCTTTGCATCAAGTCGGTGCCAGTTCCTCATGTTCGTCCACAAGAGCGGTTTCTGGTCGGACGAATTGGCCCGAGGGAGTATCGGATCTACCGTTGTGTTGTCCGGTATGGATATCATGACATACCAAAAGATGATATTGAATTTGAGCAGGACCTTGTGTGCAGCATTGCAGCCTTCATCCAGTCAAATGGTTCTGCTGAACCCAACAGGCCTTCAGACGAGTCTGCCAAGGAGAATGAGAAGGTGACAATGGTAAATACCGGAATCTATCTTCACGAGAAGGTGGAGGAAAATGGAGCTTATATGGAGTCTGGTGACCTGCCTGGTCCTTCTAAACCACAAGAAATTCAGTCGCCGGTTATAGTGGTGAAGAAGAAGGTAAGTTTTGTCTTGCCTAAGAGCCCAAAGATGGACTCCACAGTGAGGGAGGAGCTGCGAGATTTGATGGAGGCAAGGGAGGCTGGTGTGGCTTTCATCACAGGGAACTCATATATGAGGGCAAAAAGTGGCTCAAGCTTTGTGAAGAAGTTGGCTATTGCTTTATATGATTTTCTAAGAAGGAATTCTCGAGGGCCTTCTTATGCTATGAGTGTACCACACGCTACAAACCTTGAGGTTGGAATGGTCTATCTTGTATGATCTCTCAGGTATATCTATCAAATATCTTTAAAAAGGGTTTTTTTCTTCTTTTTTTTCACTTGTGTATGATGTGGATAGTATTAATTTTTGCTTTGTGGTCTAGAAATTGTTGGAAAAAAGGTTGTTTTTGATGTGCATGGGAAGGAAGATTTCAATGTTTTAAGCCTCTATATTTCACTTGTGTATGTAATGGATAGTATCATGTTCAAAGTTTTTATATGGTTGGGGATTCGTTTGGGATAGCCTTCTTATTACTTTCTAAAGTAATTTTTAATACAAAATTTTCAAATTTAAGAAATATTTGCATCAAAATTTTGATTTTGAAAGTAATAAGTAAGTTGTTTTAAACAAAGCCTAAGACTTCGTTTGAGACAGCTTTCTTATGATTCTTAAAACAGCTTTTTATTATTAAAACTTTAATTTTTGTGCTAAAAATTGCTTTAAGAAGCAGCAGTAAGGAAGCCGTCCCAAACTAAGCCTAAATTACAATTATCTAATTTTATCATATATCTCATTTAAATGTGATATTTTAAGCATATTTTAATAAAAAAAATTATTTTTCTCAAATCATTGGATTGAATTAAATCGGGCGCATGTTCAATCCTTTTGGATTGTCTTTAGACATACTTTACAACAAAAAAATTTGACAGATTAAATAGAAATTTGTATAATTCCAACAATAGCAATCTTATAAGGCATAAAATCACAAAATCAATAAAAAACAACAAGTCAAGAAAAGTTAGAAAAATATTGTTACAATAGACAGAAATTTTCAAAGTAGCAATAGCACAACATATGAAATCAAACACTACTTGTTTTCACCTTCTCACATATACTCATCAATATGATCCCACTAATCCAAAAAAATTTAATTATAACCTCTGTAACGTAAATATTGGTTATCTTTACAACTATTCCTAAAGGCACAGCAGCCAATTGAATAAATGACAATGAGAAACACAAGGAGGCCAACATTGAAAATTGCAAGTTTCCTCCATTGCATTTTTATATTCGCAAGTACTCCAGCTTTGCATGAGTTGCAGTCAAAGCACAAGCGATTCTGCTCATTGCTCCATGTCTTACAATCAATATCATTTGAATTAGGATTATCTGATTTTGAGACTGTCCAGTATGTGGCATTCACTTGTTTGTACCGACAATCGGAAGGTGGCTTACAGCAACCTGACTGGAATTAGGTTGATTTGTTTGAATTAGTAATGGATAGAATGGAATTAAAAATGATTAACTAGGACAGTTTAGAGGTAAATATAAGAATTTGCAGACAGTAATTTGGATCAAACTTCATTCCATTTACTTCAAGACAAAGCAAGAATATGGCTATTGAAAGAAAACAATTTGTTATTTATGCATTATAATTTTTGCTTGTTAGCTCGGTAAAATCTGCTTTAGTTGAGGTTTTGAAGAAATCAATATTTAGATGGGATACTTGAATAAGTTAATGTTTTTTTATTACAACAACAACAATAACAAGCCTTTATCCAACTATATGAAGTCAGTTATGTAACAACTCAAACTCTTAACTATCGAGATATTGTCTGCTTTGGCTTAAAAGCCTCACGATTTTGTTCTGTTGGTGTAACTTTTCGGTAGGTCACCCATCTCATAGATACTCTAGATTAAAAAAATTCTTTTAAAAAAAATTAAGGTCTTTCATAGGCACATGAATCCTTTTTTCAATTATGTCATATTATGAGTCAAATTTTCATTTAAATCTAATAAAAAATGTGATTTATAATAGTTTCTAACTAAATCTTTTCAGGTCTACCTCTATCTTTCTTAACATAAGTCAAATTTAATACATTTACTCTTCTAACCCATCATCGGAAGGCCGCCGTTATTTTTTTATTGAAAGAGTGAAAAAATGAATTAATAAAAGCTAGGTTTAGTCAGCCATGTGAATGTTCAAATTGGAAGCATGGTTATTAACAAAAATCATAGAAGACACAAATTGAGTGGATAATCCACAAGAAGAAAGTGTATAAGAAGGATCTCCTACCTGGCTAGGATGTTTTAATACCTGGGAAAGGATATTGTTTAGTTAGTTTTTTGGTTAATTCTTAGTTTCTTCTTCCAAATTCCTTTATTGTTTGTTTGGTTAAAACATCTCATCTTATTTGTATTTTCAATAAATTCCTTTATTGTTTGTTTGGTTAAAACATCTCATCTTATTTGTATTTTCAATAACAGATATAACTCTAATTTCTATAATATAATCTCTCTTCATAGAAAAAAATTAAAATTTTAAAAACACCCTTAACAAAATTGCTCATAAATATTAGATTTAGAATTTTGAGAGCTTAAGAAATTTTCTTCTTAGCATAAAAATCTAGCATCAATTTTCAAATTCCGTTGACAATATATAGAATATAATACCTGTATGGAAGATATGCCTTGCATATAGAAATCATCGGACTGCTGAAAAACCAAGAGCTGAACTTCTCCACAAACCCCAGCATCAACCAAACAGCTCTTAATCCGCCCCCAAGTTTGGAAATCCCCAACCCTGTTCTGCAACCAAATTGTATAATCCGCAAGCTTATACTCCTTATATCCTTTCCCCGAGACCGCCTCACCGATCCCTTTATTGGTAACAACAATGGCGAATATCGTGAAACAAAAGAGCCCGACAATCATCAGAAACATAACAGAGAGATAAATCCACAGAAAACACGACACATTGCAGCAAGATCCGAAGAGCCCGAGCAAAGCCACCACCATCAAGAAGAGGCCGATGATTATAATCGGCCATAGGAGGAACTTTTCGCACACGGAGGCGGCGTGTGCGCGAAGCCAGAGGCCGGTGCCGATGATGGGGAAGGATATGAGGAGGGTGAGAACGTTGAGGAAACCTATGACGCTGTTGCTGATATGAAACATCTTGGCTTCGATGCTACAATGTGATGAGAAGAGCTTCGATGCTGCGACAAAATCTAAGTTCAGGATTGCCTTTCTTCAAATCTCTGCGCCTCAGCGCCTCTCTGTAGATCAGAGAAAGCCAACGAACAGAAGAAGGCGCTAATATTTTCTTAATATATGATGTAAAATGGGATCACCTTATTTAAGCTGTGGATTTCCGGTGTTTTAAATAGACTCATTTTGCTTCAGAACTACAATAATGCCATTAAGTTAAAAGCAGGGCTACAAAGAAATCTCATGTTAATTAAGAAATAAATGAATTTATAAAAAATTATATCATAAATTATTTTTAAATTAATATTATGTATATATAATTTATATTATCATAATTTTAAGACTTATTAGATGATAATTTAAATCAAAATATTCTGATATAATTTCTTTATCGAAATTTTGTTAGTTCAAAATTTTTGAGATGACATCTTAAAAAAATTTAAGTTATGATGATTTATGTTAACTGTTAGATTTATTTTTAAATTTATGTGATATAAATTTAATTGATTAATAATATATTTATTTTTCTTAAAATAAATTAAAGTTTTTAAAAATTATTTTAATGAAATTTAAATAATAATACCCCCACCTATTTTTTTCCCCAGGAAAGTATGCTCAATTATGATTTAGGGATGTGTATTTAGGCTAATGATTTTTTAATTTATTTTTAAAATGTCATAATTTCACTAAGAAAAATTAAATGTAATTTTTTAAATAAAAAATATGGAATCAATTATAAGTTTTTTTAAAATATATATAAACAACATAAGAGATTATTTTTTTTAAATTAGTTTATAATTTATATCGAACATATTTATTATGTTAAAGAAATATTCTAATATGTTTTATATTAGTTACTTTCATACAAATACTTAAATTATACTATTTTCCATTAAAAATGGGTAGCTTTATCATAGTGGCAATCTGGATATTAAAACGATTGGCTAGGTCCATTTGATATTGTGAAAACAGAGGAAACGCGGTGGACGGTTTGGCCGTTTGTTGGGGCTGCTGCGTTAATAGAACAAGAGTTGGCTGTGAGGGTACCGCAGTTTGTGGCTGTCGCAAAAACCGTTATCAAACGGGTGGATCAGAGCAATAATAGCTAAGTTGCTTCTAAAATCCTCCTATATGGATTAGAAGCATGGGCGGATCCATATTAAGGCCATGAGGGATAATTGTCCCCTGAAAAAATTTAAAAAAAAAATTATTATATGATTACTTATGTAATTTATTCTCATTCATATATTTTTTAATCTTTATTATAAAGATTTTCAGGCAATTGTCCCTCTAAAAGTTTTAAAATACTATGGTATTTAGACAATTGCTCAACATAGTTAAACACATTGTGTAGAGATGTTATTGTTAGGAAACGATAAATCAAATACAAAAAGAAATAGTAAAGAAAATTCAAAAATATCATTACAACCAAAATTTGTTCCAGGGGCACTGCCCCTTGACCTTACGACCTAACTGAGCAAGTCAAACCCCACCAAGGGCGCTTCGAAGCGTACAACGATGAACAAATAGAGGTTCAAAGGTCAAAATCAATGACTAAAACTCAAAAATGATGAGTGGCGCTACTTAAGTGACATAGACCGCAAAACGGACTTCATCATTGTGTTCACAACATCTAAGTCACCTAAAATCAAATGTAATTTTGCTCAATAAAATTTGCACGGGAAAATCGGCGATGAAAGAGGAAGTGTAATGATCAACTTATATCAATTTAAATTAATTCTATAATAATAATAAGGTATTAAATATAATTATTGTTGCGTTCAGGAGTATTCGCGGCAGTAGAGAAATATAAGATTTAACGTCTTAGCATTGTACGAAAATCTGGCACGCAATTAGATAAAGAGAGAGGGTCTAACATTTATGAGACACCAAGATTTTTACGTGGAAAACCCCTAAAAAGGGGAAAAAACCACGGGGCCTAGTCCAGTTTGAATGAATCCACTAGTATTGTAGTTGATTACAAATGAGGTCCTTCCTTGGTGGAAGGTCTTAGCTTGATATACATCTTATGGAGTGCATTACATAATGTTAATACAAAGAGTCATTGTTGACATGTTCGTTTGGTCGGAAGGACCGTAGTCGGAGGGCGACTGAAGTCGGAAGAGTTATAGTCGGTGGGCGATGTATGTCAGGAGGACCATAGTCGATTAGCAACGGAGGTCGGAAGGACTGTAGTCGGCGGGCGACGTAAGTCAGGAGGACCGTAGTCGGCGGGCAACAGAGGTCGGAAAGACTGTAGTCGGCGGGCGACATAAGTCAGGAGGACCGTAGTCGACGGGTGACGGATGTCTAAAAGACTGTAGTCGGCGGGCGACGTAACTAAGGAGGACTGTATTCGGCTGGCGACAGAGGTCGGAAGAACTGTTGTCTGACGACGAAGATCAGAAGGACGACGTCAGGTGGAAGTCCAACAAAGAAAAGAAATCCATCTTTGCATAGACGTCCAGCGAAGTCCGATAACCGGTAGAATTCCAGCATCGGGTAGAAATTTGGCGAAGAGTGAAGGTCTGACGTCGGGTAGAAGTTCGGCGTCTGTTGGTGGCAGAGGAGAACTCCGGCTTCACTTGGGCAGAGTTTCGGCGTCAGGAGGGAACTCTATTGAAAATTGGGAAGAATTTTAGCATCACGTGGAAGTTGGGCAGAATTCCTGCGTTCTCCCAAATATCACGCAGAATCCCGACGTGTTCGGGTGGCAGGATGAACTACTGCGGTGGTCGAGGAGGAGAGGATTCTCCTTTTCCCCTTTCTCCTCTTCTTCTCTTCTTCTTCTCTCTCTTCCCTTCAGCCCCTCTTGTGAAGAATGAGGGCTCTTTTTATAGTTTTTCTGGAGTGGCATGGCTTGTAAATAGGTGTGAGATCAGGAGCGAATTGGGAGTGGTTTGAATGAACGGTCGATATTGAACCCTTCGATCATGCACCGTTCGTTGGACATTTGGAGGCCTTAATGAGGTTGGAATTCGGTGATCTTGGGCTCGTTGGATTCGTCTCGTCGAGCCGCTCGATTCGAGTATAAGCTCGTTAAAATCAGAGACCGTTTGGTAACTCAAATTTTGGTTTGAACCTTCCAACAGCGCTTCGGGTCATTGATTCGGACCCATTTGGGCTCGGATCGGGTCGAATTTGGTGTCGTTGGGTTCGTATTTCCGAGACGCTCAGTTTGATTGTAAGCTTGCTAAAATCGGAGTTCAGGTGCTTCCGGATTTAATCTTTGAAGTTTCCAACTAGCTTTTTGCCTCGAGATTCGTGCCCAATCAAGATAAATTTGTGATGACGTATCAATTATATTATTATATAAATTTTAAAATATTATATCCTATTATTATTATTGTAAATCATATCCTAACTTACCTGCACATTCGACAATCAGCGACGAACTGTCCCATCTCTCTGCTTAATACCCTCTCATATCTCGCTACAAATCTCCTCTGTCTGCCTCTGCTCGCGTTGATAAAACGAGAACGACGACTCGCTGGATGTTTTTCCTCACGCATGAAATCCCCAAAGACGAACCTTTCTGTTCGAAAATCCCCTCCTCCGTTCCTTCTCAAACCGCAACTCAATCCTCCAAACAAACCTCCCGAGCTCCGCCAAACTTCCGATCTTCACACCTGGCCGACCCTATTACCCACTCCAATCGACCGATCATCTGCAATCCCACCAAGCTTGTTCGAACACCTCTAGTTGATTCCTCTGTTCTTCCTCACCCATTGACCCCGAGCTACTTGATCGCAGATGAGCCGCAATCCACCCTACACCGAATCCCCTACTCGTCTGCGAACTTTTATTACATCCAGACGTATGCTCCTCTACGTTCGGTTTTAGACCAAAACAGTGCAATACATCAAAAAACTCAGTACAACTCGGTACTCGGTACTCGGTATTGCGCTTTTTTTGCCTACAACCGAACGTAGAGGAGCGTACGTTCACCGGATAAAATAAAAGTTCCTCGTCTGCAAGTAAGACGAGTAGTTTCTCTATTAAATGTATCAATTAGTTTCTTTTATTCAAATATGTAAAAATTAACATTATACCACCTCAAATGATAGATTACTGTTCTATTATAGATTAAAAAAAAAACTATCATTTATTTTCATAATCAAGCAGAATATGCAATTCGCCTAAAGGGTGAAAAGAATTTTCATCTGTCATCCCAATTCGAAAAATAAACTAAAAATTTTATTTTAATAATCAAATACTTAAGAAATATTCAATTCAATTTAAAGGTAATTAAGTAGAATATCCGGCTTAGCTTTTGATTATGAAATTAAATTATATATATTTAAAAGGCAAAATCCGCGTCCTCGAATTATTACTCTATCTTAGAAAAGAACTAAAGTAGGGTTTATCTTATTATGGATTTTAGACTCCCTACAGGGGCAAGACGTTGTAGTTAATTATATCTCCTAGGATAATACTCTCGATTAAAGTGAAAACAAAAGTTTTTTAAAATTTATTTAGATTCGACGAAATGATTGAGTTATTTTTTATTTTGATGCACAGGCTTCAGATTATAAATTCTGGAATTAAATTTATAAACTATATTAGAGAAAGATGTCCAGGGAGAGAGGTATATACAATCTAAACTTACACTTGCTTAGAATGAGTTGCTAGCTGACAGTCCTAAGCACAATCAATCATCATATGTATACAGGATTTGGTAAGCTCTATCTTAAGAATCAATTAGTTGTTATTTATAAAATTTAAATCAAATTATATACAACAAGCTCATATGATGCAAATGATTCATGAACAATAATTTATAAAATAACTTATTTTATTGATTTATAAATTCATAAGATACAACCCAAAATATATAGAAAAGAAATGGTGGTCAGACTCCACAAACAACTAACTTGAGTTTCTAAGCCTACCATAATATAGACTTGAATGTTAATTTTTATTTTTGGTCTTCAAACTTCTGAATGCTGGATCTTCTATAATATTTCAAAAGATAATGATCTTCAAATGAAGAAGAATCATTTTCTTTTGGAATCTATATATATAAACAATCATATTCAATCTTTTAGAAATTTGGACACTTTACAACTTAATCTAACTATACAAGAATCTAAATTATTTATAT